GATAGTGTTAATATAACACTTGTGGAAGCAATTTGGATCTCAGGCACTCTAAGTACATTAATTATAGTAAATTAGCTAGCATGTTCAAAAGCATTAAAACTCAATGAATTTGAATACTAACCTTTTGTAGTTCAAATTCTTGTTCTTTCACGAACCGGTTTCGAACCACCACTTGTGTCTTCCCTACTATTGTCCGGCCTTAGAACTGGATTGTGGAGTTCGGTGAGTGACTAAACTTGATAGGAATTTGGTACATGTAAAGAGAGAGTTTTGAGAAATTTTTTCAAAGTTTTTCAAGCCAACTTTCTATGTATCTTGATCACTCTATTTATAAAGTCATATTTGCATGCTCATGCAAATTTGAGATTACCAAATCTTGACACTTAAAATTTCACTCAAATTTGTGAGATTATGTGGCAAGTATGCAAGTTTCAGTTAACCAAATTTTGACCGACAAAATTTCACTAAAATTTGTTGGAAAATTCGACTAAAATTTGTAGGGGTTATTTGGCTAACATGCATGTTTGGTTAAACAAAATTTTGACACTCAAATTTGTGGGATTATGTGGTAAACATGCAAATTTGATTAAATATTATATTGACACTCAATATTCCACTAACTCAAACATGATTTTTCTCGGTGAAGTCAACATTTTGACTTTCTTTATTTTAATTCAACAATTAATTTAAATAATTAATTTCAAATCAAAATAATATTAAATGATTAATTAAACAATTTAATTAATATTTAACATTAAATAAAATGTCAATCCCAATCAATTACGGCATATACTGATTTTTTGAATCCTTATTCATAATTAAAATATTTAAATCTTATTTAAATATTTCCAATTCTCTCTTTTTGTTTAATTCATAAATAAAACAAAATGTGGTTAAATATATCGTATATATTTAGCGTGTATTCCCTAATTTGAATTCGAACACTTCGAACTCACTCGTCACACTGTACTAAGGTTTAGTCCGATATGCGCTAGTAGAGGGACATAATGGACCTACAGAGCATGGGCTTAAACAATCCGAGATTAACTGGCTAAACTCATTAACCTTGTTAACCAACATTCGTTAACTACTAGGACACTCCACTATAGCCTAGTAGTTGCACTCTCCCCACTATAGATATATTTTTGTCCATTTGTTATAACCATGATTAGTAAGTCGATCCTTCACAGGTTGTTCGTAATTAGAGCTGGGTCAATTTACTGTTTTACCCGTAAAGTTACTTCTTATTCCTTAAGTCCCATTGATCCTCTAATGAACAATTGGTTTGTGGTCCAACCACCAAACCGAATCTCTCTCGAGCCAATGAGAGGGTGGGGCCCCTGGTTCAAGACTTGGAGTCAGTACTTAAGAGAATAATCTCACTACTATCCCTAAAAGGGGGTAGGAGTGAATTCCATCGTACGCCCTAGGTCCCCAGCTATTCACCTAGTCGTCCCTAAAATGGGAGGCTTATTGAGTTGGCGAACTCGGGCCACTCCTACCCATGCAAATCTAAGGATAATTCTGAATAAACAGGAGTTCATAGTTAGCTCAAGATTAAGATTGATTAACCTAGGTCATCAAATGAAAAAACCAGTTTCAACAGTAAGCGACATTATAAAGTGAGAGTGGTTTTCTTCATGGTCCGATCTTATGCAATACTCATTGTATAAGACGCCCCCACTTACATGTCTCCACACGTACAATTTAGTGATCACATCTTTTATATCATATACAAAACTGGGCCGCATCCATATTGTCCCTAGAATAAGGTACTCAGCCTTATCCCTGTACTATAGATCATTTTGACTATATACTTGAACTTGATCCACTCTATGTCTCTTCATATAGTTCAAGTAATCATACTATAGCCAGAGTATTCTTAGTTTATTGGATTTAGATTAATGATCGTAACATTCCCTTTATTCAATAACAATCTTTACTGAATAAACATCAATAATAACTTTATTGAAAACCGAATATGTTTTTGTTTACAAACTATGAGTCTTAGGAATTAAAAAACCCAACAAACTTCCACTTGGACTAGATCTCTAGTGGGGTTTTATAATGTTGAGTAGAGAGAAAGACATAAATACAATGAATTAAGGCATCACATACCCATGCATTTTCTCCCACTTGCCCTAGATTACATAACTCGTAGTCCTAGACTCACTAGGTGCTGTTCAAACACTTTAGCCGTGAGGGGCAATGTTGTGCTCTAAAGCGACTTTTGTGACGATCACATCTCCTCGTTGCACAATTATCACAATAAAGAGTGATAGGTAGGTGCATATTTGGAACGACTTCCAAATCAATTAAGAACTTCCTAAGCTATATTTGATTCTTTCGCTGCTTCAATGGCAGCAACATACTTAGTTTCCATGGTGTAATCACCAATGCAACCTTGCTTTATGCGTCTCCATATTATTGCTCCTCCGTTCAGAGTGAAAATAGATCCTGATGTCGATTTCCTCTAATCGATATTGGTCTAAAAATTTGAGTCAGTGTACCCTGTAAGGATCAAATCCTTAGCGCTGTACATTAGCATATAGTCTCTCGTTCTCCTTTGATACTTGAGGATATTATTAACGACACTCCAATGAGCATGTTTCGAATTGGACTGATATCTGCTGACAATTCCCACAGCATAGCATATGTCGGGTCGGGTACACAACATGGCATACATCAGACTACCGACTGTTGATGCATAGGGAATATGTCTCATATCCTCAATTTCTTGTGGTGTCTTAGAACTTTGTTCCTTCAACAAATGAACTCCATGCCTGAAAGGTAATAATCTTTTCTTGGGGTTCTGCATCTTATATCGAACCAACATTTTGTCGATATACGATGTCTGAGACAATGCTAGTGTTTTGTTCTTGCGATTCCGAACAATTTGAATTCCAAGAACAAACTGAGCCTCTCCCAAATATTTTATTTGGTATTGTGTCACTAGCCAATGCTTAGAGTCAGTCAAAAATCCCACATCATTCCTAATGAGTAGGATATCGTCAACGTACAACACTAGAAAAACTACTGTAGAGTTGACTATCTTTTTGTAAACACAAGGTTCGTCAACTTTTTGTTTAAAGCTATAAGATTTTATTGCAATATCAAACCTTATATTCCAAGATCGAGATGCTTACTTCAACCCATAGATGGATCTTTTAAGCTTGCAAACATTTTGCTCGTGATCCTGTTCAATGAACCCCTATGGTTAAGCCATATAGATACTCTCCTCAAGATTGCTGTTTAGAAAGGCTGTCTTGACATCCATTTGCCAAATTTCATAATCATAAAATGTGGCAATGGACAAGAGTATTTTAATCGATTTAAGCATAGCAACAGGAGAGAAGGTTTCTTCATAGTCCACCCCCTCTCTTTGGATATAACATTTTGCTACAAGACGAGCTTTAAAGGTCTGTACCTTACCAGCTTGGTCCCGTTTCCTTTTGTAGATCCATTGGCAACCAATAGGTTTTACCCCATCTGGTTATCTACAAGTTTCTAGACTGAATTGAAGTACATTGACTCTATTTCAAGATTCATGGCTTTGATCCACTAATCTCTATCTTCATCATACATTGACTCCATTTATATCTATCACTCATGGAACCCTAAACATGCATACTATACATTATAACACTTATAACATCCGTACTATACATTATAACACTTATAACATACTTGTAATGCATGAAACATGCTTAGCCTATGGTGAGATTTTAAATCTATATGACATACTTTATGCATATACATTTTCTATTTAATTAAAACATACATTCATAATGCATAATTAATTAATTGACATTTTAAAAAGCAAGCAATTAACTAAATTATTACATTAATAATAAAAAATAACTTGAACCGCTTCCGCGGATCACGAACTTGCCGAACCAACCCTTAAAAGCGTTGAACCAGACCCCAACTGGCAGAAAAAACACCCGAACCACCCCTTCCATCTTCTTCTTTGGTTCAACTTGCTATTTTTTCCATTTTCGATCAATTACAACCTAAAATGAACTCTAATGACTCCATAAAAATTACAGACCTTTCTTCACTCATTAAAGCCCATACACATTAGGCCAATTACAATAATGGTATCAAATGGAAGCATAAAAAATACCAAAAACCATAAACATCCACTTTAGCAACCACAATTTTCGTTCATGAAATAGTTACCCACCATGCTCAAATTAATGCAAATAAAGTGTTTAAAACCTTGCTCTGATACCAATGGATGGTGTTACTATAATAAGTACGGAAGCAATTTGGATCTTAGACACTCTAAGTACATTAATTATAGTAAATTAGCTAGCATGTTCAAAGGCATTAAAACTCAATGAGTTTAAATACTAACCTTTTGTAGTTCAAATTCCTGTTCCCACACGAATCGGTTTCAAACCACCACTTGTGTCTTCCCTACTATTCTCTGGCATTAGAACGGGATTGTGGAATCCGGTGAGTTACTAAACTTGATAGGAATTTAGTATACGTAAAGAGAGTTTCGAGAGATTTTCTCAAAGTTTTTCAAGCCAACTTTCCATGTACCTTGATCACTCTGTTTATAGAGTCATATTTGCATGTTTATGCAAATTTGAGATTACCAAATTTTGACACTCAAAATTTCACTCAAATTTGTGGGGTTTATTTGGCAAACATGCATGTTTGGTTAAACCAAATTTTGACACTCAAATTTGTGAGACTACGTGGCAAACATGCAAGTTTGGTTAAACCATATATTGACACTCCATATTCTACTCATTCAAACATGGATTTTTACATAAGATGAAGTCAACCTTTTGACTTTCTTTATTTTAATTCAACAATTAATTTAAATAATTAATTTCAAATCAAAATAATATTAAATAATTAATTAAACAATTTAATTAATATTTAACATTAAATAAAATGTCCATCCCAATCAATTACGGCATATACTGATTTTTTGAATCCTTATTCATAATTAAAATATTTAAATCTTATTTAAATATTTCCAATTCTCTCTTTTTGTTTAATTCATAAATAAAACAAAATGTGGTTAAATATATCGTATATATTTAGCGTGTATTCCCTAATTTGAATTCGAACACTTCGAACTCACTCGTCACACTGTACTAAGGTTTAGTCCGATATGCGCTAGTAGAGGGACATAATGGACCTACAGAGCATGGGCTTAAACAATCCGAGATTAACTGGCTAAACTCATTAACCTTGTTAACCAACATTCGTTAACTATTAGGACACTCCACTATAGCCTAGTAGTTGCACTCTCTCCACTATAGATATATTTTTGTCCATTTGTTATAACCATGATTAGTAAGTCAATCCTTCACAGGTTGTTCGTAATTAGAGCTGGGTCAATTTACTGTTTTACTCGTAAAGTTACTTCTTATTCCTTAAGTCCCATTGATCCTCTAATGAACAATTGGTTTGTGGTCCAACCACCAAACCGAATCTCTCTCGGGCCAATGAGAGGGTGGGGCCCCTGGTTCAAGACTTGGAGTCAGTACTTAAGAGAATAATCTCACTACTATCCCTAAAAGCGGGTAGGATTGAATTCCATCTTACACCCTATGTCCCCAGCTATTCACCCAGTCTTACCCCTGAAATGGGAGGCTTATTGGGTCGGCGAAATTGGGCCACTCTCACCCATTCAAATCTAAGGATAATTCCGAATAAACAGGAGTTCATAGTTAGCTCAGGATTAAGATCGAGTTACCTAGGTCATCGAATGAAAAAATCAATGTCAACGGTAAACGACATTATAAAGTGAGAGCGGTTTTCTTAATGGTCCGATCATATGCAATACTCATTGCATAGGACGCCCCCACTCACATGTCTTCACATGTACAATTTAGTGATCACATTGTTTATATCATATACAAAAGTGGGTCGCGTCCATAGTGTCTCCAGAATAAGGTACTCAGCCTTATCCCTGTACTATAGATCATTTTAACTATATACTTGAACTTGATCCACTCGTAAGTCTCTATAGTTCAAGTAATCATACTATAGCCAGAGTATTCTTAGTTTACTGGATTTAGATTAATAATGGTAACATTCACTTTATTCAATAACAATTTTTACTGAATAAACATCAATAATAACTTTATTTAAAACCGAATATGTTTTTGTTTGGGTTTGGATGCGTAAAACCCAAATTCTGGGCCGAAGGCCTAATACATTAAAATAAAACCTAGGGTTCAGCAACATAAACCCTGGGCCCAAGCCCAATAAATAAAAAAATAAACCCTAAGGTTTAGCTACTTAAATCCTAGGCCCAAGCCCAATACATTAAAAAAATAAACTATAGGGTTTTACTACATAAAGCCGCCACTCACAAACCTTGTCGCTGCCTTGTTTTTCCTCTTTATCATCTTCTTCTTCTTTAAATAGTCGTCGCCGTCCATCGCTCGCGCTGTCGTGCGCCACCATCGCCCACGCCGTCCCACGCCACCACTGCACGTTGGACGACCACCACCAGTCACCGTCGCGCATCGAATTGTCATCACCCTCACGAATTAAACACTGTCATCATCGCCAAAACCACTATTTGGAGGAGTAAACGTAACCAAGGTACAATGCACCAACCAACGAAGTTACAATGTATTATTTTCTGAATAGTTTGGATTTGACCCAACCTCTACGTAGGAAGAAGGTAAGCAATAAAACCCTATGATTTGTAGGAGTCGTTCTATCACGTCAAGTTGGGTTGGTTAAACTTGGGTGTTTCAATGTAGGCTCGAACTAAGTCGTATGACCAATATCTATAGGGACGTTTAGAAAAGAAGCTCTCCAAGTAAGAGGTGTTCCTATTGAAACTTAACTGTTTTGTTTTTCTAAAAGGGTTGAATATGTTTGTTATTGTATGGCCGTTACGTGATACGAAGTATGTTGACTATAAAAATAAATGTTTTGAGACCTATTGCATGCATGATTTTGTTTGATGATTGAGAATATATCTGATGTGAGTTGTGTGACATAATGTATGGTTTCTCATGAAAACAAACAGTTTGGGACATAATGCATGCATGTTACCTTTGACGATTAAGGAGTTTGTGGTTAGGGTTACACACGGTGTGTTTTCAGTAATCATCCATTAATGGTCACTCTACGAGGTGATTTAAGAAAATGGTTATCAAGGTTAGGGTTACATGCTATGTGTTTCGGGTAACCAACCATTGATAATCATTTTAAGGAGTTAGAATGGATGTTGATTTTCATGTGGTAAGGTTACACGCTAGGTGTATCGGGTAACTAGGCACTAATGGTTACTCTACGAGGTGAATGCAGAAAATGATTAACAATGTGAGGGTTACACTATGTGTTTTGGGTAACCAGCCATTGATAGTCATTTTAAGGGGTAAAGGTAGAGGTTGATTTTCATGGGGTAAAAATTACGCATTGTGAGTTTTGGGTAATTAACTAGTAAGATCCCTCAATTTTGTTTGATTGTCATGTGATGGTTTATGTATCTGATCTCAACATGGGAGTTCGTTATTGACTATTTTAATATTATCCTTTTTTTTAAAATGATTTTCAGGCAAGGCTGTGGCACGGGAGTGACGAGCATGGTGGAGAAGTTAGTCATGGGGCAAATTGAGAATTTTATGGTTTCATTGATAGATGTTTCCGCATTTACCTGTTCATTGACTTAAGTTGTGTTAGAGGACACCTAGTTTATGGGAACTAGAGTGTAATAGCCCAAGCCCACTTCTAGCCGATATTGTTATATGATAATGTAATGATGTTCTATGATGGTGTGATGTTATTATATGATGATGTGATGATGTATATGATGATATGAGATGATGACATGACGATGACAAGGTATGATGACATGATGATGATGATACATCATAACATGATGATATAAATTTGCTTGATTATGAGATGACTTAATAGGATGATATTCCATATTAAGTTGATGTAGATGTATTAGATGCCATGATGTATTATGAAGACAATTTTTCTAAGACACAACCCCAATCGATGTTAATGATGATGAACGTATGAAGGCCAATGCATGCATGTTACCTACGGTAATGTGTGAATGATGTATAGGGCTGTGTCATAAAATAATTTAAAGATGAAAACTATAAAGATCTCATGCATATTCTAGTCATATACATCGGGTTACTTTGCCATTTATGATGATCAGTATGGACGCGTACACTACAATGATGATGATCATCATCATGATCATGCCTCGTATGATGCTCGGTGGTCTGCTAACCTCTGAATAATCGAATATGAAATACTAGCCTGACTGATGGGTCCAGGGGTGTGAACTGCTTAGAGACTCACGTTTGCACGTGTGGATCGTGTAGGAAAGTACTACACATCTAATCATGGGTTACATGTGTTAGCATTACCAGACTCGAATAGTGGGGTCACTTACTGAGTATTTCTTAAAATACTAAAGTGGTGTGCTACATTTATTTCAGGTAAAGGCAAGACACCTCTATACGGTTGATGATGACATTGAAAGTATAGACCGTGGCAGATGCATAGGATAGAGGTCACTGGATAAGGTTAAGAAGGTAAACCAAGAAATGATGTAAAATGACTATAATACCCTTAAGGTAATTTACCTTCAGTCCATGAACTAGATAACCTCAAAATATTATTAAACTCTGTCCCTTACAACACAGGAAACCTTGGACAAAGGTTGTCAGGTGCATGACTGGTACTGTAAATCTTAGGGGGTGTCTTGGAGAAAAAACCAAGAGCAGAACAAGAACCTAGAAAGTACCAAGAACAAGACAAAGATCAATGGCTAGAACATGGATCAAGATCAAGGACCAAGGTCCTCTAGATAGATCATGATATGAACCCACAAGTCAAGGACAAGAACTAAAGAGCCTACATACTTCCAACAAGAACAAGAAAAAGAAAAGAAAGAGTGTGATACTCTAGCATATCAAGGACACGATAATGAGCCGACAAGTAGACTACTTACTGAGTCTTTATCCTCATTCGTTATTTTTCATATTTTTCAGGTAATAAGGACCTTTTCGAGGTCGGGAACGGACTCTGGAGTAGGTGTCGTAGACAAGTTTCACCCGTTGTCCTCAATCTTTTTATTTTAAAATATTTTGTGTCCATTCCATATTTTGTGTCTTAATGGTTGGGTTGTTCTTTAAAAACTTATGTATGAACTTTATTTTGATATAATGTATATTATGTTTTAAAATTTCTTGTTTTATTTCGCTAAATTTTTTTCCGTATTTTATGAAGTCATGGAGTCAGCCTAGTCCTTACGACTTGTATCTTTCCAATATATATATATATATATATATATATATATATATATATATATATAACTATATCATGTTTTATTTTTATTATCATCAATATACATTTTAGCTCAACAAGTACAAAAGAATTGACCTCCAATCTCAAAATAGAAAAGTAATAAGGGTTTTCTTGTGTTTAGATCAACAATTGTGTTGAAATAAACCCAATGAAACTTAACATCCTTGGAAGTTGTGTTTAAATCAACTCAATGAAAGTCAACATCATTTCCAAGGGTACTCTAATAGATATGATTCTTTAGAACCAAGAGGTAATGAAATGCCATTGTCTTCTGCTGCCCATGTACAAATACTATTATAGCATTGATCACTAAACCAATTTTCCATTTCTGGCCAAAATACTTCACCAGAAGCATGTCCGTGTTTGCTGCTAAAATTGCACCAAAACCATGTTGATTGCCAAAAATTTTCTTTGAAGGCCCAAGAGTATTTCTCTTCGAGGCCGATTTCATGTTCGCCTAAATCGTTGTCTTTAAACTTGCAGTGAACCAAGAGAGTTGAATCCTTCATATGATTCCAAATTGCAACTTCCCATGGGGAGAATGGGCGTTGTATCTTTGAGACCGAATATGTTTGATTTAAAAGCAAGCAATATCATGAGACCGAATATGTTGTGAGGCTTCATTTTTTAGTGGGTGTTTAAGTTGGTAACTTTTTCTTTGCTCACACCTCCATTTTGTTTTGTTTCTTTT